AGTTTTTTCGCCCATGTGTTGAATTCGGCTCGCTTGGCTGATGAGGAAGTGATTCGTTGAATCACATAATCAACCTATTTTAACAGTATAGATCTTGGTCAGGGGGAACTTCTCGAGATGAAAAAAATTATAAAAAGAAGGTCCCAACTAACCTTCTTCAATACTTTCTCAATAACATTGGCCTCCCTCAGTTCTGGTCCTTCATCATCACTGCAGTCGGAGTCTGAATCGTCAACGAAGCCATCAGTATCAAAGGGGTTGGCCAATGGGTCCACTTGGGCTGAGTCAGATGATTCCTCGGATATGGCACAGAGGCCGGGGACAAAACCCAACACGGGGCCAGTTGGTATTTGATCGCGTCGGGGTACTGAGATTGCTTTGAGGCCGGCATTGAGGATGAGGGCTAGCTTGTGACAAAAGCACCGGATATGATTCTTGGCGATTGAGAGGTGCTGATTGTGATTCGCGTCCTTCTTGAGCAATCGGTTGACTTCGACAGCCATTGTGAGGTTATTTGATCCTGAGTCAGTAGTTTGGGCTATAATGTAAATACAACAACCAAAATAAATCCTAATCAGCTGCTATGTCATACAAAGTTTGATACATAATAAATAACAGAAATACTTATCTTATTGTTCAAGAGGGATTTGAGGAGGATGTTGGCCAATGGAATAGCCAGATATTTGCCCTTATGTGTCCAAGCGATATACTTAACCGACAGATGACAGACCTTGAATGTCCAACTGTCATCGATATAAGCCACCGAGATTCCTAGAAACGCATTTCGATTCCCCTTGGTAGTCCACACATCATGGATCAGGCTGAGCTTTGAGGGATTTGACTAAGATGTGTAATCCAGAGGAGCAATCAGCCGACTATTTGCTTGATCAAGAGGACAAAATAAATTCACCTGGAGTGTGTCCAACACCTTACTCTGCAAGTGGCAGTACAGCCGATGGGCCTTGGTGGCCGCCCAGACGCAGGTGTATGGCTTGGCGACATGTCGGAGATATCTGAACGCTATACCTAAAATGAAATCCTCAATTCGAAGCCACGGCAACGAATGTCGAATAATCCAGAGGACAAGGAGCTGGTTGAAGGTGTTGTTGTCGAAATTGTTGCCGTCCACCATTTTCCGCATTGCGACCTGCTCGGGCTCGTTCTTCTGTGCTTTTTTCTCCTTCGCAGTCATTGGGAGCTTACACCCTGCCGCAATGGCCCTGGCTCGTCCTGGGCACGGTTCTCGGTTCTCGTTACCGTCCCGATGTTTGACGAGGTTTGCACGAGTTCCTACCCCTTTCCGATAAGGGTTATCGCACCATTTACATTTGTAAGACAATGGTTCAGTCTAAAAAATTATGAAAATTCAAACCACAATGTCAGTTGTGTAAAAGAAAAAAAATAAAATAACATAAAAAAACTTACGTCGCCTTCTTCAAACACAGGGGGGTGAAAATACTCCTCTATCTTGTCAAACTCTGACACCTTTGGTTGCGCCTTGGTCTTGTGAAGCTTGAATCGGCGGTTCGCATCATCTGAATCCTGTGTGAAGTCAATCATGTTTGCCGTCCCGTGCGTTTCAGGTTCAGAGTCAGATGAAGCTTCTGAGTTGGACTCAGAATCGGAATCCCCACTGGATAGAACGACCCTCTTGCTTTTGTGTTTCTTGTGCGTTCGAGAGGCCTTGGCCTTCTTGGTCTTGTGGGCGGCACGTGTCGAGGTTGAAGCCGAAGCGGATGATGGTCTTTGGGGACGTTTACGCGATTGTCTTGCAGACGTCTGAGTTGCTGAAGAAGGGGGAAGGGCCTTGCGAGAATTGTTGCTGGGCCTGACAAAATTAGGGTCATTTCGGACTGGAGTGGTAATCCTCGTCGAATGTCGAGATGGAGGACGAGAGGCTGATGGGGTTCCTGGAGGAGGGGTGTTGGGCTGAGACCTGGAAGCAGGGGTTGAGGAGGTGGCCATGATCGAGTAGAGATTGTGAAACTGAGGTTTCTGGCAGCGGCAGCGTTGTTGGTCCTTGGTGAAGAGTTTGAATCACTATTCTATGTCTGAAAAAAAAATGTCCAATGATATATCAGTTGAGATTGATCTGTCATTTGATTGAATGATTAAAAATAGTAATCCATTAAATAAGAAAAAAAATACTCACCTCACACTAGAGACAACCCTGAATAAATGGGAAAAGAAACAAATGATGTCAGTGATGAACCATAAAAAAATAGTGATGAATGAACCAATAAATCATAATGATAAAAGAAAATTAAATAAGAAAAAGAAATAAAACAAAATAAATACTCACCTGATAACAGACAAAAACCTAAATGAATGGTCAAAAAGGCAAAAGTGGTCAGTGATAAAGCATAAAAAATTGGTGATGAACCAATAAATAATAATGAAGATGAAAGCAAACCAAAACCCAAGGAGAGACACACCTGACAGTACACTTCAAAGGGCAATCTAAAAACACAACTTAAAAGAAAGTGAAGGTAAAAGTCAGTTGTATAGACAAGCGACCAAAATAAATTGAACAGAAATGAAAGATCCGATCCGATACCTGATCCCGGATCGTATCGTATCGATGAATCACCTCAGGCCCTGACTAGTTGTCTTGCACAACGAGAGAAAGAAAAGAAAGCCATCGGAGACGGA